GACCAATACCTAGAGATTTTCCCCAAGATATTGGAAATAAGGGAAATAAGACTGCTCTCTGAGAGCTAAACTTTAAGATTATACACAATGGATAAGACCAGAAGTAAGCAAAGTCACCTTTAAAACACAAACTGGCCTGACCTGACTGTAACTTGATTTTTATTGAAACAAGTTTGCTAAGAGGTTTGGGTAGCCATGGAAACAGAGAAAGGAGCATACAGGAGCACTTCAGTGCCCATCTGAGTGCTGTCAAGGAGAGAAGAAGCTCAAATCAATAGCATGGCAGGATGTCCCTACTGTACTGGAGATCAATGTAGAAAGTTGCAACCATTGGAAATTGAGTGTTTCCATCTTTGGGACAACATCATCCTGTCATGGAGAGAGATGAATCAAGAACAATCTATACACATAACCCTACTCGTTCTGAATCTGTGCTCAGCAAGCAGCCTTCAGTAGGTTTGTCTGTGTAGTAAATACACTGGCTTTGCAGTCTTGAGTCTTCAGGTATATAAACTGAAAATTAATAAATTAATATTCAGGTATATAAATGGAAAATTAATAAATTAATATTCTGGTTATATATATCATTCTCATGATATATATTGGCTAATATAAATTCATCTGATTGCTGGAGGTGTTTTATGTTGCCAAAGAAAGGTACTTCTGAGGCTAAAACATTCTAGGCCAGATCCTAGAGGGTTAGGAAAAATTCACCAAGGTAAGGCTTCCCTGTCCTCTTGGGGACAGTCAGTAGGCCTTCCCCTGGCAATGACCCTATATCAGCCAAGCTTTTCCATTTCAAAAGACCACTGATACCAATGGGGGGGGGGGTTGGTGTGTGCTTGTGAACTTACCTCTGTTTATTATTTTATTTATTCTAACATTGCTGCAGTGACAATCCTTGACCAGATTGGTGGGAAATACAGCTCAGACCAGGAGAGATGGCAGGGAATCCTTGAATTTAAAATATACCATATGTAATTCATAAAGTGGACACAAGTTTCCATCTACCACACATCTACCATATGCTCAAACTCAATATTATCATCATTACAGTCCCTTACTTATAGATACCCTCACTTCCCTACATTGTACTTGCCTGGTAAATCCCAGCATGGATGAATATATCTATATTCTCCATAGCTGTATCAAAATGCTGTACACTGCTGGAGAAATCGTATAAATAAACTGAATGACATATTTTACATCCAACATCACAAACATCAAAAGTGCTTTCAGCAGAGCATGCCAATCCTACTCTGTTCCTCACACTAGGCTTAATTTTTCACTCTTTTACTTTTGAATCTTCCCCTCAAACTCCCACAAGCCAAGCCCTCTCAGCAAATTTCCTTGCTCCCTACTTCACTGAGAAAACAGAAGCCATCAATGGGACTTCCCTTTTGTTTCCAACATCAAATCATCAATATTCCCTACGGCTGCACCTACTTTCTCTTTCAAAGGTAATTCCTCCATCGGTGCCCTGAATCCACACCTTCACACCTTCTCATGGACCTCCCTTCCTTAGGGTTCCCTCTCTCTTCTACATAATTGTTCCTCACCTCCTTCTGGATTATTCCCATCATCATACAAACATCATCTACTGTCTCCAATATTTAAAAATGTCTCTCTTTACTCCACATTCCTTCCAGCTACCTTGTTTTTCTGTCTTGGCAAAATTCAAGTTCTGGAAATAACTTGACTGTCCATAATCTCCACTTTCTCAACATCTATTTCCTTTCCAACTCACCATCATACGACTTTCTGACGTCGTTACTCCACCAAAACTTCTTGTAAAAGATACTAGTAACCTCCATGTTGCCAAACACAATGGACACTTTTGGCTCCTTCTTCAGATGACTTGACCACTCAGCAGCATTTAACATATCTGAGTGCTCATGCCATCTTGTAATTCTCTCCTCTCATGCCTTCTGTGACATCATCGTCTTCAGGCTTCCCAGTTCTCTGGCTTCTTTGTTCTTTGCTATGTTCTCCACTTCCACCTAATCTTTACATATTGTTGCTGTTAAGACTAGCCATTTTTTTCTTCTTTTCCTACTCTCTCCCTAAGTGATCTCATCTGCTTCCACCACTTTAAACACATGTCTATGGAATGTGTGTGTAGAAGTCTGAAACCCAAATCTATGAGACTCAAATCTCTCTCTCCAGCTCTGACTTCTCCTCTGAGCTCTAGACAGGTATGTCAACTGCATACGTGATCTACAGTTAGACATTACATGAACATCTCAAATTTAACATGTCCAAAATTTAATTTTCCGTAATTTTTCTTTTTAATATTGCTCCACCAACCAAATGATTGTCCTTCCCTCTTCCAACACCATAATCTCTATAAACGTTGCTGCCATTCACCCTGTTGCTCAAGCCATAAATCTGTTGTAATTGATTTTCTTCTTCTCCCACATTTAGAAGCCATCATGTCCCACAAGCAAGTGTATTTTGGCTCCAAAATATATGCCAAACCTGTCTACTTCTCTCCATCTCCATGCCTCCATTTTAGTCCAGGCCACTGTCATTCTTCACCGTTGTAATTAGTTCATCACTGCCTAGCAGGGCGGCTGGTTTCCTTTCTTGCCTCCCCACAATCTATTTTTCACACTCTTCACTCCCAGTTATTTTTTTTTTAAAGATTTTATTTATTTATTCATGAGAGAGAGAGAGAGAGGCAGAGGGAGAAGCAGGCTCCCAAGGAGCAGGGAGCCCGATGCAGGACTCGATCCCAGTACTCTGGGATCATGACCTGAGCCCAAGGCAGACGCTTAAGCATCTGAGCCACCCAGGTGCCCCCCCCTTTTTTTTAAAGACTGAGCCATCCAGGAGCCCCTCTTCAATTATTTATTTGACACACAGAGAGACAGCAAAAGGAGGAACACAAGCAGGGGGAGTGGGAGAGGGAGAAGCAGGCTTCCCGCGGAGCAGGGAGCCCGATGCGGGGCTCCATCCCAGGACCCTGGGACCATGACCTGAGCTGAAGGCTGACGCCTAATGACTGAGCCACCCAGGCGCCCTACTCCCAGTAATCTTAAAATGTAAAACATCAGATCATGTGGTTCCTCATCTTAAAATCTTCCAAAAACTTTTCATTGCACCTAGATGACATTCTGAACTCCCTAATCTGGTTTCCAAGGCCCCTCTGAATCCAGCCCTCATCTTTGCTTCTAGCATAATCTTGTGTCATTCTCTCTTTTAACTAAGTTCCAGGCATACTCCTCCCCTAGTTCCTACAACATTCCAATCTCTTTCCCACATCAGGGCATTTGCAACTGCAGTTCACTTGGTCCAGAGCACTTTCCAGCTACTCTTCGTATTATTACGTACTCTTTGTACTGCTTATTATTATTTAGGTTCCAGTTTAAATGGACCCTTCTCAGAAAGGTACTCAGTGACCACATTTTTCTAAAGTAAATTCCTCCTGTTCTTCTCCCTGGTTATTTTTTATCTTGATATCCTGTTTGTTTCCTTCATTGCACATATCCAAACCTATTATTGGATCTGTATCACTAGACCAAGGTCTTAATTGTTCATCACCTTTATATTCCCATTACCTAGCACAGACAGGAGGCGTTCGGTACATATTTGGTGAGAAGTAGTTGTTATTTTTTTATGGAAGAATAATTTTTGTAATTTTTAAAATATTTTAGGGGCACCTGGGTGGCTCAGTCGGTTAAGCATCTGCCTTTGGCTCAGGTCATGATCCCAGGGTCCTGGGATAGAGCCCCCAGTGGAGCCCCGCCCCCAGCGGAGCCTCCCCCCAGTGGAGCTGTAGGGAGTAGAGCCCCTAGTAGAACCTGCTTCTCCCTTTCCCTCTGCCTGCTTCTCCCACTCCCCCTGCTTGTGCTCTCTCTCTCCCTCTTCCTGTCAAGTAAGTAAATAAATAAATAAAATCTTTAAAAATAAATAAAACCTAAAGAATATGTAATTCTTTATGAAACCTAAACAAGTACCATATATAGTTACACACACAGTATATACACTGTATGCACACATTTATCATTTGTGTGTCATAACAATTTTATGACTCACAAACTTCATTACACCTTAAAAGTGATTTCTGATTATAAAAATCAGGAAATTATAGAAAGGCATGCATAAAATATTTTTAAAATCTGATTGCCATAAGAAAACTGTTTGTTTTTTAAGATTTTATTTACTCATTTGACAGAGAGACACAGCGAGAGAGGGAACCCAAGCAGGGGGAGTGGGAGAGGGAGAAGCAGGCCTCCCTCAGAGCAGGGAGCCTCATGCGCCCTAGGGGGGGCTGGAGCCTGATGCGAGGGCTGGATCCCAGGGCCCTGGGATCATGACCTGAGCCCAAGGCAGACGCTTAACGACTGAGGCGCCCCTAAGAAAAACTATTGTTAACATTACCATTATTAACATGCAGAGTACATTTTTTTAGTCTTTTCTAAGAATATGCACATATGTGGGTGTTTTTATAGCATAGTTATGGCATAAGCACATTATGGCATAAGCATTTCCCTGATCATTAAGTATTAATCTGAATTTAATGGGTTCAGAATAGTCCATTAGGTGGATGTATCATAATGCATTTATCTACCTTTACCAATGGACTGGTTTTGGTATTATGAATATTATATTCACATTTCTGGAAAATATCAAGATACCGTCAAATGACAAGGTTAAAGATTATGTATAGCGTAATGTTGATACATAGTGCCAAACTGTTGGTTGAACCAATTCACACACGCATCCACCACATGCAGGAGTGCTCACTCTCCTGAGGCAAATCAACCTACAGTCGCCGTCTCCTCAAAGTTCCTGGAGAGAACTCAGGCAAAATCTTACCCCGGCAGCGGGAATTTCGACTGCAGGAACTCCCTCCTTCCAGCAGGAGGCACCGTCGCCTGCCGCCGGGGTTGGGCCGCCACGGAGGCTACACGTGATCTGGCCGTCTCTGCGCCGGAGGGCGGTCTTGCGGAGATTTGCCATACGTACGCCGCGGCATGACGTAGTACGTAGGGGCTGGCTAGCCGCCATCTTGCTTCTTTTTCTCGCTTGCTCTCTCCCTCTCGGGAAGCGGCGAAAGTGCTTTGGCGGTTTGTCCATCCGCAGCTTCGGCTTTCCCAGTCCGGTGGCCCTTCCAGCCACCCCCTACCCCCAACCTCCCCTTCCCCTTTCCTCGATCAGAGCCCGGCGGAGACTCTCGAAGTGCGCAGACCCACTCCGCTTGACACTCGCCCTGGCCGGTAAGGAAAGCGAGGGCGTAGGGGCTGTGATCAAAGCGGGCCCCATCGGGGACGGCTGGCGTGGGGCGGCCTGGGGCGTGGAAGCGCACCCCGACCCTGGCTGGCAGATACTGGGAAGCCGCTTGGAGGCGGCCTTGGGTCTAGCCACCCCCCTCTTTTTTTTTGGTTCCCATGATGTCCGTGTCTGGGGGAAGTCTCGGCCTCCTGGTCGGGGAGCGGGAAACCGGAGTCAGACCCGCCCCATGTGGTCTGCAGCGGGAGTTCCGGACCCGTTGGTCTCTTTCTCCCACCCAGTCCCAAGCTCAGGCCCTGCGGGGGGGATTACTCGCCTTGCCGGCTAAAGAAGGGAGTTTCCATCCTTGGGATAGGCGGGCGCGCGGTCTTTTTTTCTAATGTGTGGGATGCGTCCCCCAGACAACTCAAGGGCTCATCAGAGGGCCTTGACTGCCTACTTTTCCGTGTGTAGTGAGGGTGGAATTTGAAGTGAGCAGTGTCTGAGAGAGACCGGGTTAAAGACCTGGCTCCGTGGGAGGCTCTTGGGGGGAATCTGGACCAACCCTACTTCCGCTAGGGACGTGCTGCCCCAACTCCAGAGGAGGGTTTAGTCATTTCATACCCTAGGCCTCGCCATCCCTTAACCTTACGTAGTGAATCCCACTCTGCAGCTCTCTCTCTTTGAGATAGCGTTAATATTATTGGTGTTACGGTAAAGGCCCCGCTTTAGGACTTGAAGAAAAGGGCATGGGGACCAATGGGAACACTGATAAATTGTTCTTTTGCCCGAGAGGAATGCGTCTAGTTCCTTTAAAGGGATGCATATTTGTTTTGACTTGGTTTGAGGTTTGGTGGTTTTTTTGTTTTTGTTTTTTTGAGGTTTCCAACATGCCTGATGTTTGCTACCCAAATTTCTGCATTGACCGATCTTCAGCCTAGGTTCATAGATTCATGCCTTGCTAGGGTACTTGGAATTAATTGTACGGTAGGCAGCTGTGCTGTAAGATTTTCATTTGGAATGCACCAGAAGCATCACGATTCTTGATTAAGTGCCTGATAACTTACTCCTTCCTGCAAATAAAAACGATAGAATGATACTTAAGCGCCCACCAAGTCTAACTCCAGCATTTGTTGAAAGTAGATTTAACCTCCTCTGTTGGTGATTAAGATGCTGCTCTGAGTGGAGCCATTTTTAGGTGTGTGTCACAGATGCACTGCAGCATCGTTTCTGGCCCACCTCAAATGCATTGATCCCCTAAAAAATTAGGAATAGGTTGAATTTGGATTTTATCTTGAGCATGTAGTCAAATAGTAATTTTCTTCTTCCATAATGGACTTGTGAGAATCTAGGCTTTTTACTTTTATATTTTGGTTTGGTGAGCATGTATATGTGGCTGTTTTCCCTCCACCATTAGTTGATGTTTTACTTGTACTGAGCATAGTAATAAGCCCTTTACATATATGATCTTTCCTTGAGGGAGATGTTGTTATCATCATCATCCCATTTTACAGATGAGGAAATGAAATCTACGATATTAATTTCACCAAGGTCACTGCTGTAGAGATTCAAGCCCAAACTGTCTAAATCCAAAGGATGCTCTGGGCCATCAAACTGCCTTCCTGGTCCTTGTAATTTTAGGAACTGTAGTAACTAAAGATGCAGCATTCTTAACCTAGTTTTTTCTTTCATTTGATTTCAGTATAGAAACATAGTTGCATACAGTGGTGAAAGTGTTGCAAGGTGTAAAAAATAGTTATAACTACTTTGGGGATAGGATAGAAGCTAGTTTTTCTATCTTTTTCTATTTAAAGGCCAGTTGGTTAAAACTCTTAAATGTATAGTACGGCATACAATTTTTAAATTTTGAGATCTGGCCTCTATTATTGATAAAATATTTCCTCATCTGTAAAATGGAGGTGATAATAATAATAGTACTTCCCTCCAAAGTTTGCTGTAGTATTAATAAAGATAATGTGTGTAAAGGGCTTATTACTGTGCTTAGTACATAGTAAAAGGCCAACTAATAGTGAATTGGCAGAATATTGATAGAAGAAAGTACTCTCCCAAGCAGTGAGTAATCTGTTTATTCTTAGAGAGGAGTATATATTCTGTGGGAGTTTAAATAGTTTTTCTTTCTTTCTTTTTACACCACACACTAGATTTTGTTTCTTAAAGATTTCTTCCTGGGTGCCTGGGTGGCTCAGTTGGTTAAGCGACTGCCTTCGGCTCAGGTCATGATCCCAGGGTCCTGGGATCAAGTCCCATATCGGGCTCCCTGCTCAGCAGGGAGTGTGCTTCTCCCTCTGACCCTCTTCCCTCTCATGCTCTCTACCTCTCATTCTCTCTCTCTCTCTCTCTCAAATAAATAAATAAAATCTTTAAAAAAAAAAAAAAAAGATTTCCTGCTCTACAGTCAGTAACCCTGGGCTCAGTATTTTGAGCACAGCTGAAAATACAGAAGTTCTGACTCATTCCAGCCCATCTCCCCACTACCCTTACACCACCCCACCACCTTTATTGGTAAAATGTCTTTGAAGATTAATATATTTTCCCCTCCCTGCAAGTGGTTTCCTCTTGCCCTTCATCCAAACACTGCTTCAACTTGTAAGCCAGTTGAGTAACTTCTGTTTCAGATGCTGTTTATGCCATATTTGTGTAAGACAAGGATTGATTACTGACAAAATGATATTGATAAAATTGATAAAAAACAAATTGGTACAGAACCCTGTTCTTACAGTGAAGGAGATCCAAGAGTTGTGTCTGAGTTATGACTAATACACTTTCAGTAAAGTGAGATTTATCAACTTATGAAAAGGTAACACGGTGATAGTTTATCTTCATCATTGTTAACTGTTACTTAGAAGCTTGAGAATTAATGTTAGTTTCCTGAGTCATAACATTTTAAATTCCTCAATAATAAAGCCTTTGATGCATCAATCAGGACATCTTTGTGGTAAAAGAATTCTCTAGAGAGGGTAACTTCAGTACATTTCCTATTGTATATTTTTCCCAATCCCCAGAAAGGCTAAATATAACCTGATGTTTTTGCCAGTTATATTTGTAGTCATTTTGCTGTAGATTAACAGAATGCCAGTCATGTTTTAGGGCCTGTGTATGTGCATGTTTGCTGGCAAATCAGATGAAACAGGGGCTATTAGTGAATTTCAACAGTGGTCTGGATGGTAGACAAAAACTTATATATGGTTAGCATATACCTGAAAACAAGGTAGCAGTTAGGTTATTACTGTTAATGTGATGTAATGTCAGCCCTGTGTGGTGCTGCTAGGTGCTCTACGTTGGAGGAGGATGGGGTATAGTCAGGATTTGTGGAGCACATACAGTATAAGGATTTGTGGAGCACATACAGTATAAAAAACACTTGGATATTACTTACATACTATATTATCTAGTAATTTTCTTTTTATCTGTGTTCCAGTACTAGTCTGTTTTCCTTTACTAAATTGTTTCCAGATCTTCATCACCTTATACAGTGGTTGGTATATACCTAGATTTTATTATTGAATGTATGAGAGTGGGAAACAGAAGAGACCCACAGCTAAGATTAAACTGACGGATATCTTAGTGGAGCAAAGGAATACCTTGTCATCCCCCTCCCCCTTATTTACACATTAGAATAGTATCAGATGCTTTCAGACAGTTTGTGTTTATGTACTATCCATTGTGAGATTTATTTGCAGCAGATTTTCCTTTCTAATTCTTAGATTTATTCAACAGATATTAAAGATTCTTTTAATTTCATAAGGCCTAGTGAATCAGGAATATGTATGGCTTTTGGTTCCCATTGCCAAGATGCTTACAGTTTTAAAGATGAATGTTAAAAGTTATCATGTGATCTTTGGATTTATACCAGAAGATAAAAATAAAGACATAAAAGCAGATAAGGGAAGTTTGGGGCAGAAAATCCATAAATGAAAATTGTCTATAGTCTAGATCACGTGACTAATTGATTACAAGTGAGGGCATGATGGCCAAGAGAGGGCATGAATAATTGCAATTATTAATATTTGTTGACCACTTTCCATGCCAGGCACTGAGCAAAGATAATTTTGTGGCTTATCTTTTTCGGTCTATACAATACACCTAGACGGTGGATTATTTTATCCCTGTTACACAGCTAGAAAACTGGGATTTAAAGAGGTTTAGGTAATTCTTCTAGATTTACTTAGCTAGTATATGGGATTCGAATCATTGACCCAGAGCCTAACTGTAGTGCTTAAGTTCCACCCTACATGGACTTCCCAGTGGCCAGTATTGCCCAAACTTAGGACAAGTCATGACTTTTTAAATCTTCAAATCATTTGTCTTAATATTTTTTCTTTAATTCAACTTACCGTCTTTTAATTAAGTGAATTTCAAAGAAAACATACATAATTATTTGCTGTTACGGTTTTTTTCCTTCAGTGTGTTTCAGAATAAACATAATTTTAAATATGCTTCTATGGACCACTTAAAATCATCTAATATGTCATCAGTAGTCTTTTGTATTTCACGCTTTAGGACATAAATGCTATGAGAAATGAATGCTAGATAGGATCAGGCAACAGTTGGAATTGATGAAGGCCAGAAGTGATGGAAGCCTGGAATGGAATAGATTCATCACAGGCAATGGCAGCATTGCAGGAGATGAGCTGTAATGTAGAGCCTTACCTACATACTCGGGGCAACCATTTCCATGATAAACTGCAAAGTGAAGGTATTTGTTTAGACAGAAATTTAGCAGGATATCTTAGACAATTTATGGCAAGAGAAGGAGAGCAACAATGAATAAGTGAAGAAGGAAGTCAACTACAGAAATCAGGATGGAAGAGAATAATCTAAAAAATAGGAGTATTACACCAAATGTAGCAGAGTTCAGAAAGATGTAAGAGAAGTGGCCTTTGGATTTGGCTGAGAGATCCTTGGTGACCCTAAAAGAATTTAGGTCAAGTAATAAGGGTGGAAGGTTAAGCAGGGAGGAATAAGTAGTGAGACTTCTTGATTTTTA